CTCTGAGAGTGGCCCATGGCAGGTCTGCTGGAGAGGTCACAAAACTCCTCCGCTCTAGAACCGCCCTCCAGCTCCTTTTGGAGACCGCCCGTTGCTAGCCACAGGCTGGAGGTTCTGGAGGAAACTGCCAATCATCTCCTGATCACAGGCGCCGCCACCTGACCAGGTGGAGTCAATCATAGCACCCTGTCCCACGGCTATGATGATTGGTCCAGGGCTGCACACATGACCTGAGGTGGACCAATCAGAGTCATGTGCCCAGCCCCGGACCAATCAGAAGCAACTATTATATTACAAATAAAATTGACTCTCCACAGAGAATGGGGCTTTTGTACAGTGCTGAACTTAGTTCAAGTCGGCCACACTAGGCAAACATCCCTCCTATGCGTGTTTGTGGGTGTTTGGGGTGTACCAGGTTGCTTCCTGGAGGAGCCCAGATTTATACTGCAGGTGCCAAGCCAATCCTGTTGTTTCTCCGATCGAAGATGGAGAAATACAGCCTCAGGAAGACATCCCCCAGAATCCAGATACTCTGGGATAAATTTGGGGGTGCCCCTTCGAAGTTGCTGTAGCAAACACCTGCATGCTCCTGGAGAAGATGGAAATTTCACCTTCAGGCAAACATGCCACCCAGACCCCATCCCAAAACCAAGAAAACCAAACCCATTGCCATCAAGCCTATATCCACTCATAGTGACTCCCACTGGGTTCCAAGGCAGTAAATCTTTAGGGCAATAGATTGCCCTATCTTCCTTCCATGGAGTTGCTGGTGGGTTTGAACCGCCAACCTTCTGGTTAGCAGTCAATTGCTTTAGGCACTGTGCCACCAGAGCTCCCTTGCACCAGTTCCCTCTTTCTCTATGTGCAAAGTAGCTCTCGGGCAGGTGCAGAAGTGACTGCACTGGAATGGCTTGCAGTACCCTTCACACTCTGCGGTTTCTTCCCTCCTACCCTTCTTCAGGCTGTTCTCCCTGCAGAGACTGCCTGTCTTTCTGCCCTTTGCTCCCACTCATTCTTCAAGCCTGAGTCCCAGCCTCCGCCTCCAGGCAGCCTTCCTGGACTATGTCCACCCTTCTCAGCCACTCCAGGCTGGGTAAGATGACTTTCCTTGGTGCTCCCCTGGGGCTTTCCGAAACTGCAGCCCTCACCACACGGTATTGTCCTGCGGACTGACTTGTCCCCTTGGTGTGGCCGTGTGACCCAAAAATGTGGGGGGTCACCTGGCTGCACCTCAGTCTGGAACCTACATTCCATCAAAGAGGCCTCCTCTGTGAGGCTGGGAAGGGGCAACAACCTCATAAATTAGCCTTAAAAACAAACCAGTTACCATCCAGTCAATTGTGATTCATGGAGACCCCATGTGTTTCAGAACAGAGCTGCACTCCACAGGGTTTTCAATGGCTGCCATCTTTAGGAAGCAGATTGCCAGACCTTTCTTCCAAGGTCCCTATGGGTGGTTTTGAGCAGCAAATCTTTCTGTTAGTAGCCAGGCTCTTAACCATCTATACCACCCGGAGACTCAACTAATTGATCCTAGAAAGGTTTAAATTCCCTCTCTTCCTCCAAGCCTTTGACCTCATGCAGCCTTCTCTGAACTCCCCCAGGAAAGTGACATTTATTGTCAGTTATGTGCTGTGGGGCCACTGTACATCCTTTATTCATGTCAATGTCCTAACTGCCCTGCAAAAAGTGGGATTGCTAACTCATTTTATAGAGGAGGGAACTGAGGCTCAGCACGGTAAATTTACAGCCTAGGACTAGGGTGACCATATAAATTATCACCCAAACAAGGACAATTTTGAGATGAAAGGGGACACTGTTAATAGCTATAGTGGGACAACCCATCAAGGCCGCCCCGGGTCAGCTTCCCAGATAGCTACAGCTAACTTTCTGTCTTCATTCATCTAAACCCTTAATGTCCCCCTGCCCCATTATGACTCGCATGGAGTGATTGCTCAGCATTTATCTGCAGATGAGGATGTCCCAGAAAGTCCCTGGCTATCAAGATATCTGTTTTGTGGGAGGGGCCAGGCAAGCCAGGTGCAATGGCAAGGCTTGGCCACTAGGGGGAATCTTCCTCCAAGCCTTGGCCCAACGATTCTGGCAAGTCCCAGGATTTGAGGATCAGCCCCCAGGTCCCAGCCACCCACCTTTCGTATGTAGGCATTGGCTGGCACTGGGTATTCGATGCCATCGATGGTGAAGATGATGTCAGGGAGTTTGTCAACAACTTCACAGTTGATGACATACTGTCAGAGAAAGAGGGGGAGGGAGAAGTTGGCCCAGCTGACCCCTCCATGTGTGGACAGCCCCAGAGTGACCTTCTGGAGTGACCCTGTACCTCGCTGCCGGCGGCCTTGGCATTGATGATCTTCTGGATGTTGGAGATAACTTCATGTGGTCCAGCCACCGAGGAGGTACCAGTGTCCAAAACGCCTGGCAGCTATCATTACAGCCAATAACCACTCCGTTTGTGGAGCTGCTGAGAGACAGGGACAAAGCAGGCCCTGGGATCACTCTGCAGGCCACCAGCTCCACGGCCTGTCCCCCAGCTGTGTCTGGAACAGCCCTTCCGCTCTGAGCCTCCCTCTGTTTCCTGTTGTTCTGGACACATTGACCTTCTTTGACTTCCGTAATGTTCTTGGATGAACCCATCTCTTTTGTGCTTCTGGGCCTTTGCACATGCTGATCCCCCTGCCTAGAACTGTCCCCAGCCCTCTTTGGTGGCTAATTCTCCTCACCCACAGGTCCTGCCTAGTTGTCTAAGGGAAGTGTCCCCCCAGCTAGATCAGGCTCCTGTCCTGGTTGCCCCCACCATCCTCATACTCATGTGAATTAACTACTGACGTGCCTCACTGCTTCCTGCATGTTGGCCCCACTTCATGGTGAGGTGTGTAAGGGCAGGTTGCTTCCTCCATGCCTACCTCCAGCGTATAGCACACAACAGTTGTTGAGCACGCTTGTCGAATGAATGAAGGAATGAATGAATGACTGGGGGACAACCAGAGACCTGCTCCAGGGTCTGGCCAACTACAGGGCCCACAGAGCCAAGATGTGGGTTCTCCTGGGCTGCAGTGCCCAGCGCTCAGAGTGGAGGGAGGCGAGGATGGGCTGTGTGGGATAAGGCTGTCCAGCCAGCAGCCTCCCAGCTCTGTGGGGCTGGGGAAGGACTCAGGCCCTCGAGCCAGTCAAGAAGGGACTTGAGGTAGCCAAGGAAGAGGCAACGGGTGACCAAGGCATCTGAAGGACATTTTTAGCTTCTGTCACACAGAATCTGTCAATTACTGTCCTCATGTTCTCTGGCCACTCTCGGCTTCCCAGGTCCCTAGTTCTGTCACAGCCCCGCCACCCTGTGGGGTGCGGTGTTCTGTTGTGTGATTTGCTGTCAGATCTGGTGAATGAAGCAGACGGCGCCACTGTGGGGCAGTGGCTTCCTAGGCCGAGTGGCTCATCCTCTCTGCCTCATTTTCAGACTGAGAGTCCCACAAGCCGAGGGGACTTTCAGATGCTCTCAGGCCCTATTCTGACTGGGACAATCCTGGGCCCTCTTTCACCTGCATTTAGGGTCCTTGGCCCATGCTTCCCGCCTTGTCCCCACGGCTGATACGGGCCTTTCTCTCCCTGCCCGCACCTCTTTCCTGAAGAGACTTCCGCCTCCTCAGCCTGCGGCCTCTGCTTCCCCTTCTCTCCGTGCTCCCGGACTCCGGCCTGACCCGTCATCTCTGCTCAAGACCCTGTTGGGAGGGATTACCAACCCCTGGGCGATGTGTGGGATTGTGTGTCTGTGTCTGACTGTGTCTGCGTGTCTGGGTGACTGTGTCTATATGTGAGTGTAACGGTGTGTGTCTGTATCTGTGTGTGCACGTGTCTGTGTGTGATTCTGTGTCTATGTGTGCATAACGTGTGTCTATACATGTGTGCGTGCACATCTGTATGTCCCTGTCTCTGGGTGTGATTGTGTGTCCTTATCAGTGTACAACAGTGCATTTATATATGTGTGTGTGAGAGTCTGTGTGTGCAATGGTGTGTCTGTGATTGTGCATGTTTGTATATGTGTGCCATGGTATGTATATGTGTGTATGTGCTTTTGCATGTCTGTATGTCTGTGTGTGTAGTGATATGTGTCTGTATATGTGTGAGCCTGAGTATATGTGTGTGTGTGTCTGTTTGTAGGGTGCCCATCACTTGGGGAAAGATCAGAGGTCTTACCTGTCTATGGTGAACTGCCAGTAGTTGGAGGCACCCAGTTAAGTTTCCCCTTGTAGTAGGCGGGGTCCACCCCACCAAACATCACCACGCTGCCCTTCTCTTCTTTGCTGAAGGGGAGGAGGAAGGAGAAAGGCCCTTTGTGAGGGGTAACAGCAGGTAGTGCCTTCCATGTGCAACTGCGCTAAGCGCCATTGCCAGGCCTCTGCCGGTTATCATGCCCTATCCACACGCTCGACACTGTGGGGCACTGCTGGGGTCTCCATGTTAGAGACAGGGAAATCAAGGCAAGGGGGGTGAGGAACCTGCCCAAGGTCGGTCACGTGGCTAATGCAAGATGAAGCTGAGAGGTGAACCTGGCCGTCTGGCTTCAGATCTGGGCTCAAGCACCCCCACTCCTCTGAAAGGGGGTCGGGCCCGAGGCAGATCCGAGGGCAGGACGCAGTGCCCGCAGGGCCGACGCCACCCTTCAGAAAAACCCAGTAGGCAGAGGGCTGAGGGCTAAGGGCGCGTCCTCCAGGTTCCAGCAGGGTGTGCTCATGCGCCTGACTCGAGCAGCCATAAGAACCCACGCTTGGCACAGCTCTGGAAATCCTTCCTACTTTTTTTTTACAATCAGGGCCAATTTTAACCATGGAGTCCTGCAAATGATGCACCCAGTGCTGGGTTCACGGAAGCAACGTGGCCACCCGTCCCCCTCCTTCCACACCCCCTCCGTCCCCCCCCGCCACACCCCCTCCGTCTCCCCCCGCCACACCCCCTCCGTCTCCCTCCGCCAGGGCCTGATCTCCCTGTCCCTGCCCCTCCAGGTCCCAGCTGCTGCCCTCTCTCTCCTGAACCCCCGCTGCAGCCTCCTCACTGGCCTCCTCGCCTCTGGTGACCGGGCATTCTGCAGCGAGCACTTGGTGAGCTTGGAAAACATAACACCCTCCCATCCCCCCTCTCAGAGAACAAAGCCCAAGGGTGGCTTTGCCGCGCCTCCCGGACTCCATCCCCTGCCCTCACTCCCCCGCGTGCCCCTGCCTCACCGGCCCCCTGCGGCAGACACCCAAAGATCGCGCTCCCTTTGGGCCTTTGACTTTGCTCTTCCCACCACCTGGACCCTCGTCTCTCAGGCTCCCTCGTTCCCATCAGGGAGCTCTCGGCTCCGAGAGCCAGTCTTCAGAGAGGCCTTCCTCGGCTGCCCATCTAAACCACTCCCTCCTCTCTGTCCCTCCTTGGGCCCTGTCCTGTTGCTCTCACAGGGCCTCCTAGTAACACTTCCATTTCTTTATTCATGTATTTCTTGCCTGCCTTCTCTCTCCCTTCACCGTGGCCTTCACAAGTACAGAGCACATAACAGGTGCTCAGTACATCTTTGATGAATGAACCTTCTTTGATGGGTGCATTTATGCCCCAGACTTAACCCATTGCAGTCTAGTCTATTCAGACTCATAGCGACCCTATAGGACAAGGCAGAACCGCCTCATAGGGTTTCTAAGGCTGTAGTCTTTATAGAAGCAGACCCCCACACTTTTTCTCCTGCAGGGTGGCTGCTGGGTTCAAACTGCTGACCTTTTGGTTAACAGCTGAGTGCTTAACCTCTGAGCTCCTTCCCGAGGCTTCCAAAAAGAAAAAAACAACCCAAACCCACTGCCATCCAGTCAATTCCAATCCATGACGACCCCCATTGGGTTTCCCAGGCGGTAAATCTCTATAGAAGTTGATTGCCCCGTCTTCCTTCCAGAGCAGCTGGTGGGTCTGAGCCGAAAACTTTCTGGTTAGCAGATAAATGCCCTAGGTACTGCGTCACCGGAACTCCTCCTCCTGAAGCTTAGAGAAATTAAATAATTAAAGTTCATGCTACAGAGCCAGGATTTGAACTCAGGTCCCCTCCAGTACCCATGGCCTTGACCACCACCACACTCTGCTGCTTCCTACATGGATCTATGGACTCAACCACTGCCTTTGGTGAGAAGACACAGTCTATCAACAGGGTCCTCTGTTGTCTGGCTTCTCCTCACTCCCCCAC